GGTGGGGGGTGGGGGGGGCTGTAGCCCAATTTTTAGGTGAAACATGGGGGCTGTAGCTCGTTCGAGAACATGTTTTTCCTCTTGCACCTAATACTCAGTCCTCACAAGGTGTTCTGTTGTGGATAAATGAAAGTTAAAGATAGATGTTTCGTTGAAAGCATGGCTTCTTCAGGAGACTAAAATACTGTTTTGAAGGGATGAGTACAATAAATGCATATGATTAAAAAAAAAAGTCAAAAAGGCTCAAGGTTGCCTGTATTATGTTGATTTTTTTTTTTTTTTTCCCCTCCTCCCGGTTAGTGGCAGGGTAGAAGGCCAGCCCAATGGTGACACAATCCCAGCTGAGCAAGCCAACCCTTCAGATGACACTGTTGCTGGTGCTGGGAGTCGTCAGAATGATCAGATAGTGCAGAAAATAGAGGAAGTGCTCTCTGGAGCCCTTGATACAGAGCTGCAGTGCAAATCAGGTAAATGAAAACACATTTAGCAAGTGTCTTCCTGTTTAAGAAGGTTGTCATAGTGCTTAAAATTGGATCAGTTTTACAGGGATGAAAAAGTAATTTTTGGTACTGCTCCTCTCGCCAAACTTTATCTGGCAAGTTGTGTGTTTATTGTAATATTTGTTAAGTTTTTTTTGTCTACTGTGATGTACAACTGTAGATGGACAGAAGAATACATAATTTAAAAATGGAAGTTGGGTATTTTATGAAAGCATTACTTACTATGCAGAAAAAGTTTTTTTTCTTTTCTCTGCATTACAGCAGTGCTGTACGTATGAATAATATCCATAGATGTATATAGTTGTGCTCTTATTTTGTATGTGCCTACTTCAGGGTTTCAATGAGCAGTTCTTACTAACAAAGGTGGTGCTGATGGATAGGAGCATTGTTTGTTGTGTTGTTTTGGGTTGGTTTGCAAGAGTATTTCTGAAAATCATTTATTAGAATTCACAACTACAGTTAACTGTCCTGTCAGAGTAAGATGCTTTGCTGTTTTAAAATTACTAATGCACTTATCTTTAAAATGTACTCAGATTGCAATCTTTCAAAGGTTAAGGAATTTTTATGTAGCAATCTCATGACTTCAATAAATTACTAGATTTATTATGCCAAAAAGTTTCATATGATTATCCCTTCTCATGGCACTAGTCCGTTGTGTAAAATTTCTGAGTCGGGAGAGTTGGGTGAGATGAAGGGTCCAGTTACTGAATTTCTAATTATTTGGAGTTGAAACATGGGTGGCTGCTATGTGCTTGGTAAGTATAGTTCCAGAGTGATTTTCTTGAGTGGCAGCATAGAAATCCTGAAATAAATGATTTTGTGTTTGCAAGGGTCTGGAATTGCTTTTTCTTTCTTCTATGCACAGTATCTTTTTTTCCTTTTGTTTAGTGTCTTTCATCTTTGTTTTACAACCAATACTTTAGGCTGGCATCTGGGGCTGGTTGTTTGTGGTTGGTTTTGGTTTGTTGTTTTTTTTTGGTGCATTTGTTGTTCTGCCGTAGAAGAATAAGGCAATGTGGAAGTTAATAAACTCAACCTATGGTAAACATTCCCACTGTTCATATCTGGAAAGGAGTTAATGTTGCTGTTGGACAACAGAGATTATCTGAAAATGCTGTGTAGAAGAGGTCAGTTAGCTCTGCTTCATTGTTCTCTTTCATTGCATTCATAACAATTTTGGTGGAAACGCTATTTTTTTGTTAAGGTCTTTACTCCATAAAAATGTGTGTGCTTAAAATTACCTGAGACACTTTTTTTTATGGGATCTTAAGTCATGCTCATTTAATAGTATTGCAATTACCAAGAGGTTTTGAATTATTTTGCATAGTGTACTTGAAAGAGTATGCTCTGTAATCACAGACAGGTTATAATTGGAGATTTCATATTGCTGCCCTGGCCAGTAGAAATATAATAATTGAAGATAACATGCAAGCAGACTTAAATATATAGCTCATATTTAACAGAGATTATAACAGATTGCCTATAGTAGAAGTGCTTTTCTCATGAAAACGTGGCACTAGATCCAAAGAAGGGTAAGAACCTAACACAGGTTAAATTCAGAGGGAAATAAGGTACAGAAATAAAAGAAGGTGATTGAAACCTCAGTCTTCCTCTTTTCTTCCCTCTGTCATCACTTGTCCCTGAAGTCACCTGAATTTATTTGTTACTTTACTGTTTGAAGCAAAAGCCTTACTAGGCACTTGCAGATTTATGGATGCTTGTGGCAGCTGCAGTCCAGTCTGAGCAGCTGGTTAGCTGCAGTGTCTTAAAGCTTGTTTGGGATTGGGAAGTAGGTGCTGTCTCCCCAGATTTGTGTGAAGAACTTAGTCAGTTAGGAACTTAATCAGTAAATACGCTTAGATAGTTTCTAACACACTAGTAATATTTGGCTCACTCACAAATTGAAGCATAGTAGGGGATGATGGGCCGGCCACATGTTATACAGTAAGCATACGACCACTTAGGCAGTTTGTCTGGAAAATGGGAGTTCTTGGTTCACTTTTATTTGCAGCTTGGTGTAGTTTAAAAGTGCATCTCCAGCCTCCTGGGAGAATGCGCTGCCCAGTTGAATATAGGTGGGAGTATATCCAGCTGCTTCTTGGAAGGAGTCCTGTTCCCCCTGGAACTGTGTTGCTGACCAAGAAGAAGTGGTTAACTTTTTGAAAGAAGAATTAGTTATTTTTAGTTAAAGTGACTCCTGAGAGGAAGGGTAAGAGGGCTGAAAAGGGAGTGTGTGCTATTTATGCATAGTAGTTTAGTGCAGAAGGCATGGGTTTCAAGTTAAAATTTTTTGTATGTCTGTCCATGTCCTTGGTTGCTTGTCTACAAAGATTTTTAAAAAGTAGTTTTAATAACATTTACAAGGAGATTATTGTTTTTTTTTAGATGTAGGCAAAAATACTGTGAAAAATAGTACTAAGTCTACAAAAAGAAGCTCTACTGCTGAAGATGAAATTCCTAGGAAAAAATCAAAGAAGAACAAGAAACACAAAAGCAAGAAGAAGAAGAAAAAGAAGAAGAAAAGGAAGAAAGAGAAAAAGCATAAAAAGCAGCCAAAGGAGTCAAAGCTGAGTACACGTCATGGAGAACATGCAGACTTGCAGGCTGCTTCTCACTTGCTGCCAGAGAAATCAAGCTCCAAACTGAGTGCACAGCATGGAGGCTTTGGAGATGCAAATCTGGCTGTCCATGTGCAGCCAGAAGAACTGTGCGTAAAAGCAAGTGAGGAGCTTGATAGACAAGCTTTAGGACTTGTCTCTCATTCAAGAACTGATTTTCAGCAATCTACAGAAAATCTTGGAAGTGAGAAGGAGACTTTGTGTGCAACAAATCCTCCATTTATCTTAGAAGGCAGCCAATCTGATATCCAAGAAAATGCTAATATAACTCAAACTATAGTTTGCACTAGAGAAGAACAAATTAAACAGTCTCATGAAAATATTTATCCTGTAGCTATTAGTGTGAGTGAAAAGGGTGTTCTTGTTGATACTGGAAATGATACTTCATCTAGCATCCTATCTGGAGTTGCCAATAAACCTGAAATTCAGAAAGATTCAGCAGCAGGTCTAGCTTCAGTGGTAGTAGAAGCACTAAAAGGTTCAGAAGTTGTTCTGAAATCTAAAGCCACTGGGGAGTTAAAAGCTATGGCTACAGCTCTTGAGTCTGGTGCCATGGAGGTGTTGAAATATTCAGAAGCATCTCTACAATCTGTGGCACAGAGGGGAGAGTTGGAAGCAACTTCAGAATCTTTTTCTTTGGCAAGTGATGTGACAGCGATTCCTAAGTCTGCAAGTCAGGCAGATCTGAATACTGTGAAGGTAGCTCACATGCCTGTGGCTGTGGAAGAAGTGAAAATTCCAGAAGCAACTGAAAAATCTCTGCATATGGGAAATGTGAAAAGTGTAGAAAGATCTTTGGAATTAGGGGGTGTGAGCAGGACTTTGGAGCCAGCTGTGAAGCCCTCAGTTGTATCTGATGATTTGAGACTGACGCAGTGCAGCCCTGCAGAGGGTTCAAGTGTCTTGAAGGCAGATGTATCTTTGCAACATCCTCTTAAAGTATCTGCGGTGACTGCTGTGACCCAGGTGGAAGTAAAAAGTGCCAAAATACCCCTGGGACCAGGAGCTGTTATAGAAGTGAAGGATACTGAACCAGCTCGAAGCTCTGCTCATATGGAAAACTTGAAAGCTTTGGAAGAAGCTCCGCAGCCAACTCCTGTAGTAAAGCCCGAAACTTTGGAAACAATCATGGAACATCCTGTGGGTGTTCTAGCAAAAGACGTCAGAGCAGCTCGAGAATGTCTGCAAGTTGAAGTAGTCAAAGAAGTGGAATGTACTACTGATGCTGCAACAGTGCTAAATGCATCAGGAGTGTTCCTGCAACCTAAAGTCTTGACAGAAACAAGAAGTGTGGATAGAACCCAGGAATCTGCACTTCCAACAGAATTGATGGATGCAAATGTGGTTGCGGAGGCAAAAGGCTTAAGAGCAACTTCAGAATCTGTAGCACTTGCGCAGACCTTTGTTTCCCGAACCACGCCAGAAATCCACATGGTGGAAGGTTTTACAGGTCCACAAGCAACTGTGGAAGTTGTAGTGCTAACGGGAGTAAAAGGTCAAGAAACAAGTCGAGCTACTCTGCAACTGGAAAATACTGAGTCCTCAAAAATTTCTGAATCTACTCTCAAGCCTGTAGTTGTAACAGAGCCAAAAGATTCAGAAGGTACTTCATTACTGAGACAACCAGAGGAGCTGAGGGAATCAAGATCTGAGAGTCAGTCAAATGTGAGAGGTATGGAAGTGACTCCCTTGTCTTTGCTGAAAGATGTGAAAGGTCCAGGAGGAGTCCTAAGACCAATGGCTGTGGTGGAATCAAAATCTTTGAAAACAGCTTCACTGTCTTTGCAAATGGAAGGTGTGAAAGCATCAGAAGAAGCTGTGCATTGTGGGACTGTGGTCAGAGGTTTAGCAGCAACACTAGATTCAACAGCAGTGTCAAAAGGTTCAGAAATATATCTAGATAGGACGGCGGAAGTAGAAGCAGGCTCAGATGCTCATCTCCTAGCTATGAAAGTTGGATCTGTGAGACCAGTGACAAGTTTGGAAGCAAGTGTAGGACCTGTAGCAGAGGAGGAAAGGAAAGATTCAGAAGCAGACCTTGGCAGAGCCGGGACAGAGATGAAGACATCTTCATCACACCTGCACTTGAAAGATGTGAGAGATTTGGGAGATCCAACATCTGTAGGTATGACAAGGATACAAACTCTGGAAGCAGTTTTGCAGCCTGGAACCCTTGCAGTGGCAGGAGGCTTAGGAGAAAATGTGTGTTCTGAAGCCAAAATGGGTAGCGAAGTCTTGGAAGCAAGTCCAGGACTTCTTACCTTAGAAGAAAGGTCAGAAAGGACTCCTGAACCTGTGGTTGCTTTTGTAAGCATGGAAACAGTTAGAGAGTCTGAGGCATTAGCAGGGATGATGCATTTGCAAACCACAGCAGAGGGAGAACCAAAACATGCAGAAACAGTTGCAGAACCTCTTGGTCCAAGCAAAACAGAGAGTTCCATCATTTCGCATTCTCAGGTTATGACACAGACAAGAACCTCACAGGCTGAGGTAGTAGGGACGATGAAGGATTCTGAACTAGCTACCAGTCCTGCCATTGTGGAAGTGAGAGGTTTAGACAACTTGTTGGAAGTTGAGACAGTTGCGGAGGTAAAAGATGTGGCAGCAACATCAAAAACTTCACACTTAACACAGATGGAAAATTTGGAAATGGTTGTGGGATCTGAAACAAGGACACTAATGCAAGGCTTGGGAAGGACATTGGCGTCTGAGGTGGTTGGAGAGATGAGGCATTCTGAAGTTGCTCCAGAAGATCCAAACAAAGCAAAAGCAAGGAGCGAAGAAGCAATACTAGAACCTGTGCAAACAGTGATGGTGCAACCTTCAGAAACAAGTTCAAAATCTGTACAGGAACAAATAGCAGGTCATTCAGAAGCAGTATTAGAGTCTCTGCACAGAGTAGAGGAAAAAAACGTAGCATCAGAAATGGCGACAGAAGTGAGAAACTTGAGAGGAACTTTGGAATCTAAGATTTCGACAGACATCAGAACTCAGGGACCTACTGTAGAGTATATAATTGCAACAAGGAGGACAAGCACAAAAAAAATTGAACCCTCGCTTATCAGTGTAAAAGATTTTGAAGAAGCTTCAGAAACTGAGAAAGCAATGAAAGCAAAGTATTTGGAGCCAACATCAGAAGCTAGAGAAGTGAGGTTGTTGGAAGGTATGGAAGACTCTGCAACAGTACAGGTGAAAGGTTCTGAAACAGTGGAAAAGCCTGAGGTACACATGGATATCCAAGGGATGGAAACTTACTGCAAGTCTGGTAATGTGGGGGCGATGAATGTTTTAGAGGATGCTTCAGAAGCTGTTCCAGAATCTTTGCACGCTGAAGAACAGGTGCAAGCAGTTCTAGAAGCAAAACCTGCTGCAGAATGGGAGAGTGCAGAAAAGGCTCCAGAAATCTTGAGTGCTGCTGAAATGAAATACTCTGAAGCAGTTCCAAAACCAAGGGATGTGAAAGATCTGGAAACAACACTGGAACATGAAGCAGCAAAGGAAGTCCAATATGCAGAAGGGGTGCAGGGCCAACTAACGGAGGATGTGAGAGTTCCAGGTGAAGCTCAGGTGTGCGAGGTACTGGGCGAGAAGAAAGACACAGAGCAAACTCAAGCATCTGACCCTTTAGTAGCAGAAACAGTTTTTAGTTCTTCACATGCAGCAGATGATAAAGATTCAGCGGGAGCTCCTGAATCTGAAATAATCAGAGACACAAAACAGTTGGAAGCAGCTACAGCTCATGTGGTCGAAACAAAAGATTTGGAAACAGCTCCTCTTCCTGAGACTGTTGTAGAGCTGAAAGGTGCAGAAGCAGCTGTGGGATTGGAGCCAGAGACAAAAGATTTGGAAGCAGCTCCAGTACCGGAGACTGTTACAGAAGCAGTTCCAGTACTCGTGTCAGAGGCAAGCCAGTCGGAAGTCATTCCCCAGGCTGAGACTGTCAAAGAAGCAACTCCAGAGCAGGAGTCAGAGAAACGAGATTCAGAAACATCTGATGTGCAGCCCGATGTGGCGGCACGTATGAGGGAGACTCTGATGAGACTTGAGAAAGTTGAAAAAAGTAGCCAGAGAAGCAGTGATAAAAAACATGATGCAAAGAAGCAAAAAAGGAGTCGCTCCAAGTCTCAGTCCAGGTCTAGGAAGCGGAAGAAAAAATCAAGGTCGCGTTCTACTTCCAGGCGTTTGACTTCTAAAAGAGCACGTTCTAGGAGCAGAAACTACTCAGATTCCAGAAAAAAGCATTCCAAATCAAGATCCCGATCTGTGGAGAAGAGAGAGAGAAGAGTGTCTTCCCGGAGGTCGAGGCGCAGACGTTCCAGGTCGTCTGACCGTTACAGGTCTAAATCCAGATCAGCAGAAAAGAGAGGGAGCAGATTGTCCTCTGGGAGGTCCAGACGTAGACGTTCCAGGTCATCTGACCACTACAGGTCTAAGTCCAGGTCAGTGGAAAAGCGTGTGTCCTCACGAAGGTCCAGACGTAGACGTTCCAGGTCTTCTGACCGTTACAGATCTAAGTCCAGGTCAGTGGAAAAGCGACTCTCCTCTCGAAGGTCTGGGCGCAGACGTTCCAGGTCGTCTGACCGCTACAGGTCTAAGTCCAGGTCAGTGGAAAAGCGACTCTCCTCTCGAAGGTCTGGGCGCAGACGTTCCAGGTCTTCTGACCGCTACAGATCCAAGTCTCGGTCAGCGGAAAAGCGACTCTCCTCTCGAAGGTCTGGGCGCAGACGTTCCAGGTCTTCTGACCGCTACAGGTCTAAGTCTCCGTCAGTGGAAAAGAGGGGGAGCAGGTTGTCCTCCTGGAGATCCCGCCGCAGACGTTCCAGGTCCTCTGACCATTCCAAATCTAGATCCAGGTCTTCCGAAAAGAGAGGGGGCAAAGAGTACTCATGGAGGTTCAGACATAGAGGATCTGGTTCCTCTGACCGTTCAAAATCTAGGTCAAGATCTGTTGAGAAGAGAGGTCGTAAGACATCTCTGCGGAGGTCTAAACGTCAGCGCTCTAAGTCCTCTGACCGTTACAAGTCTAGATCCAGATCAGTAGAAAAAAGAGATCGAAAGCAATCATCACGGAAGTCTAAACGTCAGCGCTCAAAGTCCTCTGACCGTTACAAGTCTAGATCCAAATCAGTGGAAAAGAAGAAAGAGTCCTCACGAAAATCTAAGCGTCGCCGCTCAAAATCTTCTGAACGTTACAAGTCTAGGTCTAGGTCTGTTGAAAAAAAGCGCAAGGAATCTTCAAAAAAATCCAAACGGAAACGTTCCAAGTCCTCTGATAGCGTTAAATCAAGGTCCAAATCTATAGAAAAAAGAGAAGGTAAATTATCTGCCGTAAAGTGTAGTAGCAAGTGTGTAGAGTCTTCCGAACTTCAGGAGTCAACCACATGTCTTGAAAAAGCAGAAGTTCCTGAACCACCTGCTGCAAGTGAAGACAGCTCCTCCAAATCCTCCAATGGTCCCATGTCGGTAGCTTTGTCTGTTGAAGGAATAAATGGCCCAGAGCTGCCGCCAGTGTCTGAAAGTGGATTTTCCAAAACTGTTGATAGTCTTGAGAAAAGCTGCTCGTCTGAAAAAACAGCAGATTTGCAGTCTTCTGTGATGTCTGAATTTGATGGCTCCGAAACCCCAAATGACCAGGAACTGAGATCCATGCCTGTGGAAAAAACACAGATTTCGGAGCTTTCTGTGACATCTGAAAATGGATCAGCTGAAAAAGCAGCGGCTCTGGCGTCTTCATTGCTACCTGAACTTGCATACTCCACATCCACGTCAGGATCCCCATCTGTTGAAAAAAGGGGAGATCCAGAAAATTCTTTGGTAACAGAATTTCAGCTCTCAGCATCCCATGAAGATGAGTCGAGATCTACCTCCCTCAGAGAAGTAGAGGGTCCAGAGCCTCTTCTGACGGTTGAAAGTGGATGCTCTTCTGATGATTACAAGGGAATCTCCTCGTCCTCTGGAAGAATGGAGGTTCAGGGGTCTTCTCTGATGTCTGAAAGTGTACTCTCTGACAGTCATGAGTTGAGACATACCCCTGTTGAAAAAACAGAGCTTCAGAAGTTTTTGCAAGTACCTGAAAGTGAATCTTCCAAGTTGGCTGACAGCCATGAGTCAAAGTCACAATCTTTTGAAACAGTAGAGGCTCAAAAGTCTTTTCTAGCATCTGAAGTTACGTGCTCTGCATTCCCTGATGGCTGTGAGTCAACCTCCTTGCCTGTTGAAAAGGGCCAGGTGCAGGAGCCTTCTCTAGTTTCTGACAGTGGATGCTTCAAGTCTTCTGATGGACGTGAATCAGGATCCAGCTTTGCCGCACAAACAGAGGAGCTTCCTTTAATGTCTGAAGGTGGGTCCTTCAAGTCACCTGATGGAAATGAACAAACATCTTTATCTGTTGAAAAAATCAAGGCTCCAGATGTTTCCTTGACATCTGAATGTGGTCCTGTTGAGATCTCGGATGGCCTCGTTTCAGCAGCATCTTTTGAAAAAATGCAGGAAGTAGTACTGACAACTGTAGGACAAAGCTGCAAGTCTTCAGAAGTTCATGAGTCCACGTCATCTGTTGACAAAAATTTAGATGGTCCAACACTCTCACAAGTACTTGACACTGACTGCTCTGAATCTTCTGAAATGCATGAATCGAGTTACCTGCCTGCTGGAAAAATAGAGGGTACAGGATCTTTGTTGATGTTTAAAAGTGTAATTCCTGTGTGCCATGATGGCCATAAATCGAAACATCATTACTTTGAGAAAACAGAAGGTGCGGAGCTGGCATTGGCATCTGAGCTTAGATGTTCTGTCTCACCTGAAGGCTATGAATTTACATCCACTGCAGCTGAAAAAATGGAGATAAAAAAGCCTTCATTCCCACTGGAAAGTGGGTTCTCCGAGTCTGCTGATGTTTGTGAATCAGTAAGCGCACCTACTGAAAAACTGCAGGCACCAGTGACTTCTGTGACTTCTGGAGATGGGCTTTTCCTGTTGCCTGATAGTCACGAATTGAGTACTATCGCTGCTGAAAAAGTAGAGGTGCAAAAGTCATCTGAACTGAAATGCATTGCATCCCCTGATGGCCACAAGTTGAGGTCTGCTTATGATGAAGAAATACAGGTGCAGGAGCCATCTCTGATACTGGAAAGCAGATGTTCTGTTTCCTCTGATGGCCATGAGTTGACATCCACTGCTTTTGAGAAAGCTGAGGTAGAGGAGCCTTCTCAAATGTCTGAAAATGAATACTCAATAGGACTTGATGGCCCAGAGTTGACATCAACCCCTGCTGAAAAAACAGAGATGCGGGAGCTTTATCGGATGGTTGAAGAAAGATGTTCAGTGTCCATGGAGAGCCAGGAGTTGCGGTCCCCCCCCGCTGAAAACATGGAAGTGCAAGAGCCTGCTCTGACGTCTGAAAATGAATATGCTGTGTCTTGGGAGAGCCGGGAGTTGAGATCTAGCTCTCCTGAAAAGGCAGAGATGCAGGAGACTTCTGTAGTACCTGACAATGAATATGCTGTGTCTTCTGAAGATCACAAGGTGCTGTCTTCCCTTGCTGAAAAAACAGAGGTACAGGAGTGTTCTCTCCTGTCTGAAAATGAGTATGCTGTATCTCCTGAGGGCCAGGAGATGATAGCCAGCCCTGCTGAGAAAGAGGTGCAGGAGCCTTCTCTGACATCTGACAGTGAATATATCATCTTCCCTGAAGGCCAAGGATTACAGTCTAACCTTTCTGAAAAAACAGTGGTGCAGGAGCCTTCGCTAGTATCAGACAGTCAGTATGCTGCGTCCCCTGAAGGGCAGGAGTTGCTTTCTGGTCTTCCTGAAAAATCAGAAGTGCAGGAGTGTTCTTTGCTGTCTGAAAATGAGTATGATGCATCACCTGAAGGCCATGATTTGAGATCCAGTCCAGTTGAAAGAGAAGAAACGGAGGAACCTTCTGAAACATCTGAAAGTGAAAGTTCAATGTCCACTGATAGCCAGGAGTTGCAGTCTACTGTTGTTGAAAAAACAGAGGTGCAGGAGTTATCTTTGTCTGAAGGTGAATGTCCCATGTCCCCCGAAGGTCAGGAGCTACAGTGTAGCCCTGCTGAAAAAGTAGAGGCTAAGGAACCTTTTCTAATATCTGAAAATGAACATGCTGTGTCCCCTGAAGAGTATGAACCACAAATGACTCATGCTGAGAAAACAGAGGCTATAGATTCTTCTTTGACATCCGAAAATTACCGTCTTTTGTCTTTCGAGAGCCAGGAGGTAAGATTCACCCCCGTTCAAAACACAGATGTGCGGGAACTTTCTCCAGCACCTGAAAATGAACATGCAGCGTCCCCTGGTGGTCAGGAGTTGAGATTCGCCGCTGCTGGAAAAGTAGGCAGTCCCGAACCTTTGACACTAAATGATAGAGCCTCCATGTCTCCTGATGTCAGTGACTTGAAATCTGTCCCTGTTGAAAGAATGGACGATGCAGTGCCTTTGATGCCTGAAACTGGGTGCTCCATGTCCCCTGATGGCTATAGTGTGAAATCTGGCCCTAGTGAAGAAACAGAGGATCTAGAGCCCTCTTTGATATCTGAACATAGACATTCCACATCCTCATACCGGGAAGGTCATGAGCTGAAATCTCCTGTGGAGGAAGAGGGTCTAGATTCCTCTTTGACTTCCGAACAGAGACAATCTGTGTCCCCTGAGGCCCATGACCAGAAATCTACCATAGATGAAGAAATGGATGATCTGGAGCCATCTTTGACATCGGAGCATAGGCGCTCCACCTCCCCTGATGAGCAGGAGTCAAGATCTAGCCTTGGTGAAGAAGCAGAGTATCAGGAGCAGCCTTTGACAACAGAACGTAGATGCTCTGTGTCATCTGATGAACATGAGTCAAGGTCTACCACTGGGGAAGAGGTAGAGGATGCAGAAACCTCCTTGACAGCTGAACGAAGAGACTCCACATCCTCTGATGATCATGAGTCGAGGTCTACCACCGGTGAAGATATAGAAGATGGAGAGCCCTCTTTGACAGCTGAACGTAGACACTCCACATCTTCTGATGACCGTGAGTCAAGGTCTACAGCTGGTGAAGAAATGGAGGATTTGGAACCTTCTTTGACAGCTGAACATAGGCGCTCCGTGTCTCCTGATGGACGTGAGTCAAGGTCAACCACTGGTGAAGAAGCAGAGGACCAGGAGCTGTCTTTGACAACTGAACGTAGACACTCCACATCCTCAGATGAGCATGAGTCAAGGTCTACAACTGGCGAAGATGTGGAGGATATGGAACCCGCATTGACAGCTGAACAAAGAGATTCCACATCCTCAGACGAGCAAGAATCGAGGTCTACCACCGGTGAAGAGGGTGAGGATATGGAACCCTCTTTGACAACTGAACATAGACATTCCACATCCCCTGATGGGCGTGAATCGAGGTCTACCACTGGTGAAGAAATAGATGATGTGGAGCGCTCCTTGACAGCTGAGCGAAGAGACTCCACGTCGTCAGATGAGTGTGAGTCAAGGTCTTCCACTTGTGAAGAGGGTGAGGATGCGGAGCCTTCTTTGGCAGATGAAGATAAACAGGATTCCATGCCTGTTGAGAGGCTGGAAGAACAAGACTCTTCTTTTATACCTGAAAGTATGCGTTCTGACTCTTCTGAACGTGAAAAGTCAAGATCCAAATCCGTTGACAGAATATCTGACAAAGAGTCTTCACGAAGATCTATAAGCAGACGCTCAATATCTCCTACTCGCCAAAAGAGTCGATCCACATCTGTTGAAAAAGCAACAGACAGAGAGTCTTCACGGAGATCTAGACATAGGCGTTCCAGGTCCACATCTGTTGAAAAAACAGCAGACAAAGAGTCTTCGCGGAGGTCTAGACATAGACGCTCCAGGTCCACCGGTCGCCAAAGGAGTCGATCAACATCTGTTGAAAAAACAGCAGACAAAGAGTCTTCACGGAGGTCTAGACGTAGACGCTCCAGGTCCACTGGTCGCCAAAGGAGTCGGTCCAAATCTGTTGAAAAAACAGCAGACAAAGAGTCTTCACGGAGGTCTAGAAGCAGACGCTCCAGGTCTTCTCAGCGCAGATCCCAGAGATATGACACAGAATCTCGCTCTAGACGGAATCGCTCCAGGTCAGGAACACGTAGAAGAGCTTCAAGATCAAAATCTAATCGTCGCTCTCGGTCTAGCTCATTGTCGCGTTCAAGGCACAGAAGGAGGAGTAGGTCAAGGTCAGCATCTAGAAGGCGGCGTTCTTTATCAAGAGACAGGCGTAAGAGATCTCAGAGAAATAGATCAAGATCTACTGATAGAAGAAGAAGAAGATCAGATTCAAGAGATCGTAGAATATCACTCAGATTACGGAGCAGGAGTCGAACACCTATTCGTCAAAGGCGATCAAGGTCAAGAGGAAGAAGACGGAGCTCTAGTAGGTCACCAATTCGACTACGGCGATCGAGATCTTCAGGGAGAAGAAGATACAGCAGATCACCTGATCGTCGTAGGTCAAGGTCATCGGAACGATTTGCAAGCAGGTCACCTAAACGTCTTACAGACTTGGGTAAGTGATAGTTTTATTTTCAGTAGTTGCATGGTTAGGGGATACTCTGTTCATTTACATAGTCTTATTTTAAGATATCTGTGCAACATTCATAAGGAATTTATTGGAAGTTGTTTTGTGCGTTATTTTTAGGCAGTGACTTCCACTAGGAACTTCTGTGTTGGAGCTGAATCAGTGCTTACTACTTGGATGAAAGTGTGTTTAGTACAGGTTTTATCTCTTGGTTATGGAGCGTTTATACAAAGATGGTATGTTGTACTCTTGAGGAAGGCTGTTCAATGTAATATTAAAGGCTAAGTACTCTGGCCTTTAAATAATGCACGAAACTTAGGAGTTTCTAGTTTTCCTGAGAACAAATTGGGCGTGAAAGAACATTTGGAACTAAGTGGCAGTTGGAGAGTTCTTACCTCTGTCGTCAACTGTAATGCTTGTTTATCTGTTTCCATTACTCTCTTGCCTCTTTATCATGGTAAGAACTTAATGGGAAGGGAGACTTGTTTCTGAAAATACTCCCAGACCTAGCTGATTGGAAAATGAAAGAAAAAATCGTAATGAACTGCGTCTTTTCTCTGTGACTGGAGGTAGAGAGGCCTTGTAGTTTTCTTGGGTAGTAAGTTACGTGAGGAGAAAGAAGGCTTTAAATCTGAGAGACAAGCTTTTGTATAGTGTGTGAGGAAGTCTCCTTTTGTGGACCTCAGGTTCTGATCCTTTTAGTCCTGTCTCATAAAGTTAGCATGGAAGCCCTTCTGCCAGAGAAGTGGTTTTGTACACAGCATGAGAATGAGCATTCTTGAATCTGCCTTCATGCTTTAATTATGCAGCAAGTCTATATCTATATACTTTTATTGCTTAAGAAGTAAAGGAATGTTGTCCTTCTAGGATTTCTGTAAGGCTGTACGCTTGCAGAGATAGTGGTAACTCATTTATTTCCAAACCGGCAGATCAAATAAGACGTACTTTTATTTCCATTCCCTATTTCTGTGAGAGGACCACATGCTTTTTTCTTTAACAAAGCAAAATACTGTTTTATTAACAGTTTTTGCCTGAAATTGTATTTTACGGAAGTGCACGTTTTATTCGGTGCTCATGTTTTTCGACTGGTTGGTTGTAAGTAGCTTTCAGGCTACGTACTAAGGGACTTGAGGGGACTTCCTCAAGACCTTTGAATGCTTTTCAGAGATAGCTAGGAAGTAGACTTTGAAATTTATGCTGTGTAGAAAGGACTCAGTACTTCCAAAACTAGAATGAATCGGTGAAGTAAAGTAGGCATCAGAACTGTGGGGATTTGGAGGATTCTTAGTGCTGTAATTTGGACTCCCGTGCTTTGTGTTAAATTTGCAATTTCACCTGTCTGTTGGGTAGACCAGATTTTAAAAAGTGCAGGGCAACCAAGTACAATTTTTGTTATTTTCACAGATCCTAAAAATGCACAGTGTGCATAAAATCTTGTGTTTTCTCTTCGTACTTTTAGTCTGCCAGAAATGCTTATTTGTTGTTAAAATTAGAATCTGTAAAAAAAACAATTTTTCATTTAAAAAAACAAAATCCATTTTTTAGACAAGGCCCAGCTACTTGAAATAGCCAAAGCTAATGCAGCCGCCATGTGTGCGAAGTCTGGCGTTCCCTTACCACCAAGCTTGATGCCTTTGTTATCTCAAAAGAAAGACGACAAAGCCAATCAGAAGTCATCAAGAGATACACTAAAGGAGCTCACTGAGGTAAGTGAGAAAGACGGTATCAAACCTGAAAAATAAGCAAACTGGTTTTCTGTGACTTCCGGGCAAACTGTCATTCTGTGTGCTCGGTTCACGTGTAAGCTGGCTCGTGGTTTGAGCCCTTACTCTTTGCACTTTTTTTTTTTTTTATAGTCGTGAAAATAGGCTGTTTAATTCCATGGAAATGCATGAAATCCAATTCTTCAGCTTTTTTAAAAATTTTGTCTCTGTTCTAGTTTTGTACAAATTGGTAGTTCTCCTTGCAGTCCTATTAATAAAACCCAAAGCTTTCACATTTAGTTTTTGGTTCTGAAGTTTTTAGTTGTTTATATTCCTACTTTTGTTAGTGATTTTCATCTTGTTAAATGTTATCTCTGGGTTAAAAATCTTGTGCCCACTTCACATAGTTCTGTATATTTTAATATGCACTCTAAGATACTTTTAGCGAATTACTGTTGCAATTCTGTCCCGTTGCAGTTACTCTACAAATGCAGTGGTTTTGTTCTGATTCTGGGGGAGAAAACTGCTAGTTGTTCTTTTGCTGTAGTAATGACACCTTTGCTGATTGCCCACTACATGTTTTTTTCCAGAAACTAGAGAAAATTTGGAATGGGAGGGGGAAAAAAAAGGAGCTTTTTTAAAAAAAAATTCTCCGGAATCAAAATTGGCCACAGAAGCAGTCCAGGCCATTGTCCTATGGTAGTGTGCCTAAGTGGAGAACCCTTTCAGAGCCTGTTCAGCTTCTTGCAAAGCTATCTGCATTGTCTTTCCTCTCTGCAATGTAACCTGCAAACTGGACAGACTTTCCAATTAGTTGGTAGCTGACTGATAACCATAGATAATACAATTTGTTGATGAGATGCCCAAATAGTGCAGGCTTTTCCTCTTGCCTAGAGAATGTGCTTCAGTCATTGTCTGGAGGCATCTTAGCACAGGAGAGTGCAGGAATCTTTTTTTTATAAGGGCTGATGAGAACAGTGCCATCAACGTATCTTAATTTTCAGTGTTGGAGGTGCCAGTTTGCACCTTGTATGCCGACAGTCAGGTCATCAAACAGATGGGCCTTACAGTTGTATAAACTTGAACTAGAGTTAAATCAGATGATGGCTTCACTTTGCCGGTATTATTTCCTCAAATATTATGTTCTCAAATGTCATGTGAGTCTTACAAGTATACTTTTAGTGAATGGGAGACCTAATAGAAGCATGATACTACACTATAGTGTTCTCAAATGCATTTTGGACTGACTTATACTTGCTACTGGTGAACACTCAGTGCAGATAACCATGATCAGTAAGGAGTTTTTCGTCATAAAATTCTCGCCTCTCTAGAATGTATTCCCACCCCCTCCCCTAGGTTCTCTTCGTATTTGACTGCAGTATCCCCATAGCACCTATATGTTTTATACTCAGTTTTTGTTGAATATAAAATGGGGCTCTCTGGTGTACTTTTTCCGTCTGAACATGAGGAGGAACTTCTTCTCTCTGAGGGTGACGGAGCACTGGAACAGGCTGCCCAGGGAGGTTGATTCTGTGATTCTGTGATACTTAGCCAATGTGAAAAAATTTCAGAAATCCGAGATCTTTTGGAGCCGTTGCTTCTGAGTAGGTCCCTGCACTACAAGTAGAACTTAGAATTACATGTGTAGTAGTTTTGTGAGTTACACTGATGTTTCTGTCAGATTGCAATATGCTAATTCTGTGGGATGCCAAACAACCAGTGAGTTCCTACTCTAGAATGTTTGCAGCCTTAGATGCACATTCTGCAGCTAGCACTGTGTAGCAAGTTTTACAGTATGATGCTGAAATCTTATGTCTTTGAAATTATTCTCTGCATGAGTGCTTCGCAAACGTAGGTGGGTATTTGATAATATGTCTAAAATGTCATAAGTACATGTATTGATGACATTGCTAAAAGATTTTCTTGTACGTTCTGCTTTAGAAAAGAAAAACTCTTTTGTAAAAATGTTCTTTTTGTATGTTTTGGTTGAAAGTACAGGTTTGTTTGGAGCTGTAACGTCCCTTTTTTCCTTTTTATTTTTTTAAGAAATGCAAGAAGATTGCTCAAAGCACAGATGATGTGATAGTGAACAAACCTCATGTTTCTGATGAAGAGGAGGAAGAACGTCCTTTCTATAATCATCCTTTTAAGCTCAGTGAACCCAAACCTATTTTTTTCAATTTAAGTGTGAGTGCTTATTTTGTTTTTAATATTTAAAGTTGTGGTTATTTTTAAATAATGCAAGTAATTTTACAGAAATTAAACAGGGATTGATAATCCTTGTGAAATTGCACTGGGAAGTTGTTAAAAGTACTCTTGCTACAGTAAGAGACTTACCTGCAGTCTGTGAAATTGTGGTAGTTCCCATAATTGGATTGAAATTTTTTTTCATTAATGCCTTTGCAGCTTCTAAAGCTTGAATAACATAAAGAAGATTGGTTTTGCTTCACATTTTCATTGCAAAAGCACCAGTATGAATTTACAGACAGTATTGGAATGGGGAAGTGCATTTGGAACAGCATTGTTTTTCTTTAAAAGACCAGCAAAAAACCCCTAGCGACATTCTAAAAGCATTTTGAGATGTTCTAGATAAGCTGATGCCATCAGCTTTGTGCAGACTCCAAATCCTGTATGTCTACTTCTTCAGTAGATTTCGAGTGTTCACTAAAGGAAAAAAAAGATCTGTTAGTTTTGAGATTAACCGATAGAGAAGTAAATGCTGTGTTAAGAATGAAGATCACTGATGTTGCCTGTTACTAAGAGAGTTTAAATGTCTTGTTAAACCTCCTCCTTGGGGGACTGCTTTTGACTCTGTCAGGGCTTGTGTTGACACTTTCTGGGTATGAGCATCTTGGAAGGAGTAAAATGAGGGAGCATTTCTTTAAGTGCGCCTGGGATTCAGATACTGTGAAGCATGGATTAGAATTTGTCCAGAATGTTTTTCTTAAACGGTTGTATCTTTGGGGGAGTTTTGTGCCATGAAAGCTCTGATTTTGCAGGGTGTAAAGTACTATAAAAGTATTACTATGCTAAGTGGAAAATATAAGTAGCATATGCATAAGATGTAAGGTAGAAATAGATTTATACTTTATATTGTACCATTAGAAAGTGGTATGACGAAACTCAAGAAACTCTGGGATTCCCTACAGGCTCCAAAGAGGAATGTTATTTAGTGATTTTAAGTTGCTTACTTGTTTGTCGCAGTTTTGACCCTGTTAATATCATTCCTTCTGTTCTTTCTGCATCCTAGTCTAACTACCATTCCCATCCATGTTCCTTGGATGGTAGGAGTTTACCCAGTATTGTGAGCTCTCTGGGCTCTGTTTGCCTCTTAGAAGAGCAATTTGTCGGAGATTACTGTGGACTCATTATATTAGCATTTCTAAGGAAAACAAGCTCATAGACGTGATTTACTTTAGGATTCATGCTGCTCTTAAAAAATAACCAAAAACTATAAAACAAAATGTTGATAACTGCTTTCTCTATGTATAGTAGTGTAGAGCTTTTTATTGTCCTGTGGACATCACAGCCAATGTGTTGTGCTGCTCAAGATTTTTATTTTGGAGCTTTCCATTACAAAATGCATCCGTGGCAGATTAAGATTGTTCTGTTTATGGTGGGGGGTGGAGGGAAAGCAGGGAGGTTAATTGTGGGAGTGAGGTTTTGTACATTTTTGGCAGCTGAAGCTGATTTAAGCTATTTTAGCTTCTAGCTGTTTCACCTTCTCTTATACTGCAGTTTGTTTCTCATTTGCATGTTTTTAGGGCTGTGCTGAGATGATTTGTTATGAAGGCTTTCGGTTTGATGTTAGTAAGAAGGATGACTTTCTTTAATGAAGTTTTCGTAAAACTCAATACCAACTGTATGCAATAAACTGTTTCTCAAAGACATGTTATGAATGTGGTGTGTTCCCAAGTTTTAACTTTTTCTAATTTCATTTCTTAAGACTCCCAGCATAAAACCAGCACCACCACCACAACCAAAAAATCAGGTCAGCCTGTCAAAGGAATTTCCTGTTTCATCTGGGTCTCAACATAGGAAAAAAGAAGCAGATAGTGTCTATGGAGAATGGGTTCCAGTTGAAAAAGGCAAAGAGGAAAGCAAGGATGATGTTTTCCCCAAACCATCCATTGAGGTAAGGAAGGGAAGGAAAGCATATCATATAAGAAAACCAAAACCATTACCTAGTCAGTCTGGTAGCAAATTGCAGCCTGTGGAAAAAAAAAAAAAAAAAAAAAATAAATAGGTAGTATTTAACACTTCAATAAGCTAATTCTCTGAACTGCTGCGGGTGCGAAATTTAGTCGCCATGCTCACATAAGCAATGATGAAAGCAACCTGTACCCATACTGTGTCCTTTTGTCAACTCATGACTACTTCTTTGTCTCAATAGTTTCAGCTTTTGCTTGAAGATGAAAAACGAGTTTCTTGTCCAGTTTCCTGCAGAGGTTAATATCCTAAGTTGAGAGTTTTACAATTATAAATTTAATAATAATTCAAATTGTCCACCAATCTTAGAGCAATAACATTGCATTGAAATGTAATCCATTAAAAATAGATTTGAAAGTAGTTTCTAAAACTGTAATTTCATCTGCATGTATATACTAATTTTAGCTTTACAGTCACATTTTCTTACATAGTTGTCTTCCATGTGGCCTTCCAAAGGAAAATCTAGTTGTATGATAATAAACTAAAAAAAAAAAAAAAAAAAAAAGGCAAGGGGTTTTTTCCTTGAAATGTCTTCAAAAGGATATTTTGTGGGGTTTTTGTAATTAAGTAAATTAAATATTTAAAGACAGATGTAAATTTTGTTCAAGTTGATGTTAACCTCACTCCATCTGAAGACTTGTTCTCATACCTTTCAAAGCAGATAAATAAAAAAGCCTTGGCATCAATTTCTGATGAAACAAGCTTTCCACTTGGTGCATTTTGTTTTTCAAGAACTTTCTAAGATTGTACAATTCCCTCAGTGAAACACAGGAGGTATTTTCTTCTGTGTCTTTTACAGCACCAAAACCACAGTGAATATAATTCATTCAACAGACATTTTCACAGTGCACCGCCAAGTTTGACGGTCAGGCGCCCAGTTCATTGTTCTCTCAATGTAGATGGTAGCTGCTATTTGGTCTTTGTCATGAACCACTAATAAGACAAACATTCTGAAATGTTTGTGAAGAATGTAATTCCAAGTTACTAGTGTATATGTAAATAAAGTCCAGAGCATAGAACCATTGTATACTAATATTTGGCCATGTTTTTACCAGGTGGTAAGATTTTTTTTTTTTTTTGTCCTTCAAATGGTTGATGATATGCTCATAGTTCAGGCGAGCTCTGTAGATGTCTGCATCCAGGTTGCCAATGACGCTAGACTTGTGTCTTTGACAAATTGGGTTAGCTAAGCACTGATGGTTTGTGTATTGATAATGTAGAAGAGGCCATAAGCGTTGACATTGGAGTAAATATATTAAACATAAATTTCTTTCCTTTTTGTCATGTGTATCTTTATAAATGCTTGTAACAATGTTGTCTGTTTTTATATTTTGTAAATAAATATTTTTATTTGCATTTACCTTAACTTGGTTTTTGTTAAGGGTGATTTCAAGGGTTGTTAGCTGACAGCAGAGCATACCACCCCCTTGGGTTTGACAATTCTTAATGTTGAAATACAGGAGGAATACTTTTGTAGTAGCAGAATCCCTGTATGTTTCTCCAGGGAGTGTGAAAGGTAACTGAGTGCTTCTCTGCTTAACTTTTACTCTTTGTGGATAAAATGGCTTCCTTTGAGCAAAATAAGCCAGATAAGCTCCCTTGATGTTGGAGTAGAGTAGTGGGGGAGTGTGCTTGGATTCTCAGGAAGTCTGACATATAATTTACCTCTGCTCATTGTTGCTGATTTTGAAATCTGATTGTGACAATTCTGATGCAAGTCTTTTTATTGACATTAAAAAATACATAATTGGTCTTATTGTTACGTTTTTATTCAAGTCACAGAATTAGTTATGCGAATAAGCAGTCTGGGAATAAGGCCCTGCTAATATATTACGAATTGTTTTAATAAAATATTATGCTCTTAATATAGTTGTTCGTGGTAGTAGGAGATGGAGGGAAAAGTCTTGAGTAATCTGAAGTCCCACCATGTCTTTAGAAGCCAGAAAAACTTATGAAAAAGAAACTATATCTGAAAGTCTGAAAGTATAGAGTTGAAGTGTTGCGTTGAAGTTTGGACTATACACAGATGACTATTATGCAGAGAAGCTGTCGTGATCCAAAAACGTAGTAAATGCATTTGGTGTATCGGTGGACCTCCAGAGTATGTCAGAAGTGCCTGCTTTGTATTGTCAGCCTCTCCCTTCTTGCTTCAGTATTTGTGATTTGTGTCTGTTGGGAAAATGTTATTAAAAGGCAGGACTGGAAAGGCAGAACTCTTACAGAGAATAGCATGCTGAACTTGAAACTGTTTTGCTTGACTAAATAATAACAACTTTTCATACTTCAAGCAGAGATTTTTTTTTCAAGATCCAAAGCTGCCATCGAGTGTCTGACATAATACAAAGCCATGATGGTCTCCAAAATGGTGACTGACCATGTGGGGAAAGTGTATGGGAATTCTAACTAACCAGGGTATCTACTAATAGGCCCCAGTCCGGTAAAGCACTAAAGTACACATGTATGTTTAAGTATGTGAGTGGTCCCAATGTGGTTTCAGTGGACTGCTTGCATGCCTATGTGTATTGCTGGATTGAAGCTTTTGGTGAGTAGAATAACTTTTCTTTATCTCCTGAACCAGTTTCACAAACAAAACAGTAAAGAATTATTTTAACTATACAAGGTGAACTTGCCAACACAAGAAAGTGTATATTATAAACAGGCATTCTTTTACATACCTGACTGTCATGTTAGGTGATTGTTAGAAAATCTTGTAATTCTTCTTGTGCCTTGTTTTTGATCTGTGTTTTGTCAGCTGAGACAATAAATAAACACTGAAGTCAGTTTCATAGACACAGAGGACTTCTGGGATTTTAAGTCTGGCTTGATCAGTGCCAGATGCTTCAGTAACGAGCTTCCCAATGAAAATGCTTTTTGTCCTAAACAATAAAAAAAAAATCGCCCATCTTAAAATAAGATCTAGTAGCCAGAGTACAAAAGTAACTACTCAGTTTTCTGCAATTTTAGACATTTGTGTTTGTCGCCTACTATTTTTCAATATTCAGTAAATCCTTGACTTGGTTCCTGTGACAAAGATTTTTTAGTTCTGTTTCTTTTATTGGCCCTTTATTGCAGTATAATATGTGAGAGGCTGAGGTTATGAGGTAATGACTAACAAAAGATAGAAGTCTTCTGTAACACAAATTAAAAAAACCCAACCCATCAGCTTACTGTGTGTCTATATGCCACCTACTGTTTTGATTATTGGGTTTCTTCTGTGCTTCAAACAGTTCCAGCCTGTTCAGTCTTCTTCACACGCTCGTCTCCAGAGAAATTTCACTTATCTCTGAGCAGTGTTCTTTTTCTCCTTTCAAAATAGAAAGATCCATAAAATGCACATCATATGAAGAACAAGACACAAGTAATTTTACAGAAGAGCTGTATACTAGCCCTAATTTGTTACATCTTAATATCCCAAAATATTGTGGATTTCTATCTTGATTGCTTTGCACATAGAGGTTTGCATTGAACTGCTTCATTTGCTCCATGTTTTTACACAAATGATTCTGATTAGTATGTGTGAGATAGTTTCAAACTATTTTTCTTTTGATTTTCTTCTAGTTCAGCAGCACAGATCTAAAGAATCCTTTCCAAAACAGTCAATGTCATGAGCTACCAGTCTGGTTTAACTTTTCTGCAAGTCTGTCTTAGACTGCAGATTAAGATTTTAAACACTAAAGCCAAGTTCAAGGAATACAAGTGATTCTTGCTGTAATTTTTTTATACATATAATTTGAAGTTTTAGTGTGACATAATAGTAGGGTGCTCATATGAACAGCTCTGTATAAAGGCGCTTTTTTAAAAAAAAATTCTTAGCTAAATTACATTTAATTGTGTTGGTTAATAAGATTCCATTGAACAATGATATGGTTCCATATTTAAGTATTACACACCAGAACTTTTTGTGACCAAAATACTTCTTGGAAAATAATTCTTTTGATATTTATGTGTACAGGAGATACTAAATTATCAGGGTGTTACACTTTGACTTCAGATTTTGTGTTTGATTAGAAAAGCCCATATTGTATATACTTGATAAATAGTCCCAGGATTTTTTCACGTTGCCTATTTATTTATCAAACCAACTATTCAACATCTAAAACAACTTTGTAGTATTTGTAGCATTTGTTTTGCAACAGCTTTTTCCAGATCAAGTGAATATTGTGGTCTGATGCATTTTTAAAAGTAATCTTTTTTCTTTCTAGGGTGTGGACATAACTACGGCTATGAATGATCGAGCAGTGGCTCAGAAAAGGCTTAATGAAAACACATTTGATTTAGAGGCCATGTGCATGTTAAATCGTGCACAGGAACAGGTATGTTGCACTTTTTCGTCAGCGTTTTGATGAACTTAAAGAAAGTTAAAAGAAAACCCTTCATACCAGCTGATTTTTCTTACGTACTGAAGTACGGGTGTTTTGAAGCCCAGTTTATGGGCATGTGTTTAAAAAACTCTGCCTTTATTTTGCACTTCATAGCACTGATTTTGACAATAAGCAAACCATGAACTTGCTAGACTTCGAGCTCAGCCTTTAGGGTTAACATAGAAAGATGCTCAGCTTTTTGGAGTGTCTACTTGCAAATGGGTGTTAGTGAACACAGCACTAAACATAAATGAGGAATTGTTATTAAAATTACTGTGAAGCAACAGAGGTATGTAGAGGAAAAGTGTGCAAATTTTTATTTTAGTCTTACATTTGATTTTTATTTTGTAGATTGACGCCTGGGCTCAATCAAACTCCATACCTGGCCAGTTCACAGGAAGTACTGGAGCACAGATACTGTCCTCAGATGAGCTGACCAACAGTGGTCCCCAAGCATGGATTAGAAAGGTAGAAGTTACGGAGATATACTGGTCTAACTGTCACATTTTAAATAGCAGTGGAAATACTGGAAAATGCCAAAAACGTGCCTTAAAAGCCTATGGTAATGCATGTGTCAAATACAACAGGTTGAGTTAAATCATTGTCTTTGATCAATTTAGATACTTGCTGCTGCTGTGTCCGCTTTGTTGTGCATTAAGGTGTTGCGCATGACATAGAGTACTTCGATAAGGTGTGCGTCTGGTATTTGAGTAAGATTGGTTCGTATATACTGTTACCTTATACTGGAATGACATTAATGATATTGGTATGGTTGCAGTGGTAGGCCCATCGCTACTTTTACAGGATTGGAACAGATCAGGCAAGGTTTGGTCCTGGTGTGTTGGAAGTCAGTGATGTGGTTTGGCATCAGTTTCCGTGAACCAGGTCCCAAACTGCCATTTTGTTTGACTTGGTTCTATCCAATTGCTACTTTGCCTCTATTTGTATCACCAGGGTTTTCTGGGAGCCAAAGATTTGGAGTATTAAACCAGGAGGTGCAGCTGGGTTAAGAAGTTTAATGTCATCCTACAGTGAAATAGTTACCTCTTACTGCAGAGTAATAGTGGCTTATTTTTGGGGTATGGTGCGTCATACATACATGCATTTTATAAGTTTAATAATTCATACTTCATCTTTGAAAATTACTACTGAACTGGTTCTCTTTCAAGAAGTAGAACTGAGGAATTTGGGCAATATCCACCTTTCAGGCAAAAAGAATAAGGAGTTACGGTTGTCAGTCTTACAAGTAATGTAGTTGAGTATACGCTGTATCTGCTTATTCTTCCAGAACGCAGTGTTAAGACAACCCTCAAAAATGGTAGGTTAGATTTGAGACTTAAGTAAAATTTTCCAGAGAACTTGGTGTAAACTGAACACAAAAGTCTGGAATTATGACATCCTAAAAATAGAAGTATTTTTGCCAAGATTTGCTAACTTCTTTTTCCACTTTATATAGCCAAGCAATACAGAGGGCCAGGCAACACAGACATCCAAGTTACTTACTAGATGGGAATCTTTTGGACTCTTCTCAGTTTTAATACGCAGTGTAGATGATAACGTCTTATTTTAACAATTATGAACTTTTGAGATTGTAACAAGATGTTGGCATTCATTACAATGATTGTCCCTGGCAGAGGAACTTAGAAGTCCAAAGCACTCAGCAGGGGTGTATTGGTGAGAAAATGAGAGCTTTTCCACCGTGAGGCTTGTGAAAGAGATCAGCAAGCCTGTTGAGGGTTGCCCCTTTCTGCAATACCTTGAGTGGGTTCCCAGGGCAATGGAAAGGGAGCATCTCTGATCATCTCTTTCCCAAGCCTCCTCTTCTCATCCTGTTTTCATTCCTTGGATGTTCTGTGCTGGTCTTCTGTGCCTTACAGTAGCAGGAGTGTCCACTAACAAAAATTAAGTGGAGAAGGCAAGTGGGTTTTCCCTCAGTCTTTTTGTCACTCTGTGATCTGCTTTAAAAAAACCCCAACCAACTAACCAAAACAAAAACTGACAGAACGCTTCTTAGGGAGAGAAGGAGAGAAGAGTCTGGTCTCTGGCTTGTGGACATGACTGCTGTGAGGAGCAGAAGCATATTGGAACATTTTGTTGAATCTAGAAATAAGAGTGAGCCAGTAGAAGCACTTGTGTCCTTCCCATAGCTGTAAAAAGCTAGTGGTTTGCAGTAGTAGGCATCCTCCCTTGCAAGCATCATGTGGTTTGTCAGAAAGGAGGCTGCTACTGGAAACAAGACGAGTTGTTGGGTGAAGACGACAAGGACACGGTCCTCTTTCCTGCTCTGGCATTCCTCAGCTTGACTTCTTTTGCTCTTTCCAGGTTCCATATTTACACGCACATTGCCATCAAATTCATGAGATGACAAGTAGTTACAGTCCTGCACCCTCTACAAAATGCATTAGGGACTACACTTGCCCTGTTGTTTTTGTTTTTTTTTTTTTTTTTTAAGTTTTTTTTTTTGTTTTTTTTTTTTGTTTTTTTTTTTTTTAGGAATGGTGGGGCCTGTGAAAGCCTGCACAAAAGTTAGATTTGATGAATTTAGTGTGGAGTCACATCCTGTGGTTAGAGGATGATTCCACAGAAAAAAAGTAAAGTAGGGATAATGGGTTATTGAATGCATGTTATCTTTCTCAGTGACATGAATGCAAACCAACCATGAAATGCAAAGTATAGGTTGTATTTTACTCAGGCACTTAAAGTTGTGTAACATAGTTCCTGTTAACTATGCAATGTAGGACTGAGAAGTCAGACTTGTACTCCCTTTTTTGTCCTAAGAAAATGCATTTTAACATTTAAAAAAACCTAGTTTTTAAATTTTTTTTTATCTGCTAGTAGGGCTGTGGAGTTTCTTGGGGTATGTTGTGTGTGTAAATCAATGCACATTTCTGACTGAAGATGTTGTTTACTTAAGGCATTTTGCATGGGAGATTGCCATAAGCAATTGCCATACTGTGTCAGCTAGTTACTTGTTTATCATTAAACAAAGAGTTAGAGCACGTACAGACATTGTGCTTGACAGAGATAATCACAAAACTAGATAGATGTAATGAAACAGAAGAGCGATGTCAGGAGGAGAGAAAAGTTAAAGTACTGGGGGAAGTTGTTTGATAAGCGCTGTCTTCACTTTGCATTTCTTGGATTTCAGCTCTTTTTTTTGTACTTTAAAAATGACTCTGGAGAGGTAATATGTACTCAAACCAAAATATGCCTGCAATTTCAATTTTATCTCAATATGAAGTTTTGAGGAATTAGTTACTCGAGTGGTTAACATGGCATACTTGAATGATCGACGTACCAATTAGTAGTACAGTTTATTTTTCCAAGTAATACGCTAATTCATGGTGTTCACGCATAGGGTTCTGAGCAGTATTCATAAAATAATAATATGTTGTTGGGTTTGTTGTATTTAAAATGGATTTATGAGCAACAGTATCTTTTGAAAAGTGCTTTCTGTTTCAGTTTATCGTCATTGGTGTAATCAGTTCACAAATATGACTTACTGGAGGTTGCTTCTTTTTTTCTTCCTTTTTTCTTACAAATACACTGTGCTGCTGAATAAATGTCAAATCAGAGGAGGTGGTCAATTTTTTCTTTTCCCCTAGCCAATTCTGTTGAGGTCTCCTTAATCAGACTTTCCCAGACTTACTACTTGTTTCTGGATTTATCAGCTTAATTCTGTAGTCTAAACTTGCGCTCCAGAACAAGGGTTTTGCAATGTTTTATGCACACAGGGTAATGCTTGGGATCTGTTTCATTCTGTTGTGCTAAAGCATGACATAGTTTTACTGTGGCCATTAGAATGCTCTACTTTCCATAGCAAGTTCTGAAAAGGTACAGCATTCCTTCCACTCTTCCACAGTCGTAGCAGATGAGTAAAACTCACGCTAATGATGGACGTAATAGTGTCTAGTGTGATTGTCACTTGCACAAGAACTGCTAACCTCAAGCAAGGCCACTTATCAAAGCACTTGTGTTTCTGTTGTCTTATATGACACAATGAGCTTTCCTTGGAAAAGAAGGCCACATGGTTCAGCAAATCAATTGCATGTTAGTTGTATTGGACTGGCTCTCCCTGTTCAGTCCTCAACATGTTTTTTTTTTCCCCAGCTATCCTCAGCTTGCTTTCTACTGATTATGTGCAAAAGCTGTGAACAGAAAGCCTGAGGCTGATTCCAAGTGTAGTCTTTGCAAGGTATTTGATGGGATTCTTCCTCTTGTATTGGGGAAAGAATGTGGCTGCTGCTAAAAGTGCCAGTTTATTTAATGGAAAAGTTGACTACTTTGCAAAAGTTTTGCCAAAGGTAGATGCTTATTCCTGGTACTTGACTCAGAGCAGTTCTTTGGAGTTTGCCTTAAAGTAAGCTTTAAGACAGCCCATTGTGCTGTGGCTGAAACTGTCCACCTGGTGCCTTTAAGGCTTTGTTGTCTTTTGCTTAATAAATTACCACTCAAAAGAAATAAACCTTCCTTCTGACAGAACTTGTGTTTTAGTGCCTTGTCAGCATTGTGAGAAGGAATGGGTATTTTCTTTTCAGAGAGCAGAAATTGATGATGTATTCTAAGATCTCTGAAATATTTATGGCTCTAATATTTTGTATGTTGCGGGTGCCGTTTTGTAGATTCTCCGTTCAATGCTGTGTGCTGTCCTTTTCCCAAAGACAGCTATTGCAGTTAGCCAATGGTGACTGTCCCACTTGTGTTTCAGCAAAACACCTGTAAAATTATCTTTCAGATGTGGGTTTTTTTGTGTGTATGTTTGCTTGTCTAAACCTTTAAAGGCTAATTCAGGCATTCATATCCCCCAAGATTTGTTGCCCCAATGTAGCTTTAAAAGAGGAATAGTTCTAATTAAAATTACTAAGAAAACCCTAGAAGTGGTTCGGCTTTCCTATGTAGCCTTCTTTTTTAAAGGAAAAGTGTTGACATAATGTGGCTTATTAGCTGTCTCCATCTACTGGCAGAATGGAAGTGTGCTTTATTTGGCTGACCTTTCATGGAATTTAGAGATCAAAAGATGAGAAAAGTGATCCTAGATTTTCATGCAGACTTACTCAAAGTGGGGTTAGTGAATGAAAGAGAACAATTACTTTCTAAGTAATGAGTTAATTCTGACAACAGTAACCAAATACTTAGAAACCTGGGGGTTTATTCTATTACATACTTTTCAATTTGGTGTCCTCATTATAGGCCAGATCTGCAAGGGTACATAACTGCTAAATAGTTTTGTGACAATCTGCCTCTTATGATTTTTTAAAACTGAGAAGAAATGTATACCTTCCTTCCCTGCTCTTGTAAATGTTTCTACTATTTTTACTTTCTGAAATGTAAGTACGAACACAGCACTAGTTTTTACTCATACTCTATTAGATCATGGGCTGAGTGAAGTTGTCTGTCATTAAATTATGAAAATAGTTAAGATAATATAATTGTACAGGTGACACTAGAAAATTATCGTCATCTTATTATTGCTTCTTCGGTAAACTGAAGCAAAGTGAGCTTATCCTGACTCCTTTCATAGTGGTACCAGAATTACTTCATTTAGCCTTTTAGTGTGATGCACAAGTGCAGCTATTCTGCAATGAAACAAAACTTTAATTTCTCATTCCTTGATGTCCTGGTTCTGTTGACGTGTTGAAGAGTCAGCATAGTGTAAAAAATTCCTACTGGAGTTATCCGATAGGGTTCTGAATTCACACGTTAGAAGTTAATAAACTACACTTCAGAATGTAGAACTCTTTTTTTTATTTCCAGTATTTGGAATTTGTTCAGGCTCTGTGAATTCCTAGATAGGAACATGGCGCTTTGATTTTTTTTTTTTTTTTTTTTTTAAACTACGAACAGCAGTATTTTGCTTCTGTTCTCCTTTCTACACCGCTCCTAACCCCCGAGTTAGTACATTTAAAGGTGTGATGCGAAAACTATGTTACATTAGAATGACCTCATCAAGAAATTGCACTCTGTCATTTGTGAACTGAGTACACGCTGGTGATAATGAAACAGGTGTTTATACTGAAAATTCTATCATTGCAAAGCAGGTACAAAAGAGGAAACGGAACCCAGGGTGACATTGACTGGGGTTTGTATCATTCTCGGCATGATTGCCCTTTTCTTATGAGAGTTTCGTGGAAAAGAGAGGGGAGGATGAAAATGGAAGTAAGTAAAAGCCATTCTAGGTGTATAGATTGAGGCAGTTTGTATCGAAGAAACTGATTGTCTCTGTGTACACACACACACTGCATGGTCTGCGCCAGTCAGAACAAAAGTTGAACTGCAGAGGTGCACTTAGCCTCTCTACTCTTCCATCAGAGCACTTTTTTTATTAAATGCAGCATCCAGTTGCATGATTGATAGGTATTTACTGTTTAAGAGGTCAATATTTGGAGAAGTCCTGCCACAATCTTCAGCAATCATTTTTTAAAAATAAATTTTAACACCACATATAGTGGGGATGACAAACACGCATCATTGATGCATGTCAGTTGCCAATATGAAATCCCCTTCAAAATATATTATCCTTAGTCTCTGCAAAAGAAAGACTTCTGGTTTTGTTTACGTACAAATCGAAACCAAGGACCTATCAGTCCTTTGTCCAAATCTGGGAAATGCTTACTTTTGCAAGCACGACTCCAAATAAAGGGAAAAAAAAAATTGTCCTATTAATTTGCTTTGGTAGTAAGTAGAATTTTCACAAAAATACCAGGCATTGTATCATCTAACCTACTATGCAAAAGAACTGATGGACTTAACAGTGCCAGTGTGTAACCTTGTGTATTTTAAGGCAAGCAATTTTTTGCTGTGATGGAAATGATTGACTTACTTACTTGGGTCAGCGGGGGGGGGCAGAAGAGAGATGATAGTTCACAGAATAACCTGTGAACTTTCACCCCTCTATATGGAAACTTGTTTCAGGGTCAAATCCTTGTAGCTGCCTTCTTGCCACGGTCAATGCCAGCCCTACTATTCACAACACTGCGGCCATCGAGGCCTAGGTACGTAAACATTTAAGGAGTTTTTAAAGTTCTTTACATCAAAACAGATATTTAAAATTTCTGTTTGTAAGCTTTCACCATTTAACAACTATGATGTTAATGATGATTTGAAAGAATGTGAAGACAACCACTGCTAAACTGTGTGGCTAAGCGCCTTTTTTCTGTAAAAAAAGAAAAGAAAAACCTGTATGTTTCATGTGGATTTTCAGCGTAGAACTTGAATGTGCAACTGCTGTGTAATAAAATGGGAAAACTTTTTTTTTATGTTTTAAATACGCCTAAACACTATGTGAATGTCATTACTAAATGTGCTTGTATTTTGTTCAATAACTAGGTACACTTGGCACACATGTTGCCAGTTAAACAGTTAACACTGCCTCCTTTCACGAGATGAGAAGAGATGCATTGGAACCAAAGTAGCGTGTTTAAAAATGGACGGTTATCATTTTATTAAATACATATGTCTGAAATGGGTCACTTGCCACTTTTGGATTGCATTAGAATTTTCTTAAGTTGTTCTTTTTTGGAAATACTGATTTGTGTCTCGTGTGTCTGCGTGAATTCCGATTTATACAAAGTGTTAAGGTATATAAAGCTAAGGTGTAATGTTTTTTTTTTTTTAATTGAGTCTGTGGAAGGTTGTTAGAAAAATTTTTTTGAAGTTCCCACTTACTTTTTAAAATCCCAGTGCTAACTTTAGGACTTGTTTTACTTTTCTTTTTCTGGATAGGATCAGTTCTTAAGAGCAGCCCCTGTAACTGGAGGAATGGGAGCTCAACTGATGAGAAAAATGGGCTGGAGAGAAGGAGAAGGGCTCGGAAAAAACAAAGAAGGCAGTGTTGAGCCTATTATGGTCGATTTTAAGACAGATAGAAAAGGTAAGCCATTCCTTAAATGTCTTATGACAATATAGACTTCTCATGCCTGTTTTGGAGATAGGCAAAACAACTTTGAAGTAGTAAGCTTTTTCTGGGTACAGCTTCGTTGTGAAAATCAGGGGAATGACATAGATGCTTTTGGTACTAGTTTTTCAAGCTGTGGATTATGTATATAGGCTTCGTCCTTCCGCCTGTGAACTCTTCCAGACGTTCTTTAGCTTTCCCTAACCTTCACCTTCTACTTTAAAAAGTGCTCCTTGGTGGGTCTTAGGTTAGGGATGTGCTTCAGTTGGATGTGATGAGAAGGCACAGACAGGGACGTGAGTTGTGGAAAAGCCGTTGTGACTGGTCTGGAGGGAGTGGCTGAAGCAGGGATGGGGCAGGACAGAAGACTGACTGGTTTGAGGGGTTGAAGGACAGAGGTGGGAGCTACAGAGTTGAGTTGCTGCTGCCTTTCAGCTGAAGTCCTGACTTGAATAGACTGTTATCCTAAGGTTTCTAGGTCTTCCAGGTGGATTGCGTTCCCATCTTTGTCCATCTGATCTCTCTGCTGTTCCATCTAGTTTGATCCTGCAGCAGGCACCCCTGCTGAGCTACAATGATGTTTCCCTGGTTGTTTCCAAAGATGGCTTTAGCAATCTTTCTTCTTCCTTCATATGGTCCATAGTCACAGGTAGAGAACTGTTGCACGTGTCTCGTTAGATTCAGTAGGACTATCCTTTTAATTACAGGTAGTGTGGTTTATGTGATTCGCCATCTTGCCAACATATTCGGCAAGAGTTCTGTTTTCAGGGTGAATGTTTATGAACACCTTCCATCTGAAATACCTATACAAGTTGTAACAATTTTAAATAGAAGATGCAGAATTTCAGCGGTCAAGATTTATGATTTAATTGTTCTATTATACATGTTACCAAAATAAAAGACTTAACGCTGACTGCAGGAAAACAAATGCTTACTGTTATTCTCCTGAATATTTTTTGAAAATTGGGAACCTTTCATATATTAAATAGATCCCATCTAATATTAAAGCATGAAAAAATCTGAATTATGGGTTTGTGTTAGCTTTTGTCAGTGCTCATAAATGAGCTTGGAAGAAAAGAAAGCATATAAATGAAAATATTGTGAAGCTTATTTGCAGAGGTGTTGGAGGAATCTTTAGGTGTCAAAATGATTAGTCTTCAATACAGAGAGAGTTCAGCACTGCTCAGGTGACCAAGCTAGCAGTGAAAATATAATTGAAACGTTTAAATATGAAGTGCAAAGAGGCAGAACATGAGAAAGCATGCCTATGTTGTGAAAATATCCATTGCTTTCTAAATTCTAAAGACCTTCTGGCAGCATAATACGGTTTTATAAATGGAAAAGTGCAACAGTCTCAAAGTACAGAACACAATAATACAGTCGTCTTTGTTTTATGCAAACAATGACCAAACATGCTTTTTAGCTGTTTTTCTTCTGTGCAACCTTTCTGTTAAAAGGAAGACAAAAAAAAAAAAAAAAGGGAAAAAACCCACATACCTGGTGACAGAGTGATAGCCAAGAATTTCTGTGAAAAATATGTTGTTACTGTTACGTAGTTGTAGGTGTTGTCTTCTAAAGTTCCCGCTGCTGGTAAGAGTTCCTTCAGTTTAGCTTCATGATCCATCAGAGGGAAGAAATTGAAAACAGTCAATTCCAGTATTATTTTCTCAAGCAGCCTGCATAACGTAGTGATGGGTTTTGTGGTGAGGAGGGACGAGTTAGCTCTGTTCATTGTGTTGCTTCTTGTCATGTCGTAGGAAGGAGGCAGTATTGCTGCACAACCTGTGAACATTTGAACATTAAAAGTGTTCTGATGGTACACAGCTGTGCTATGGCTCAAGTTTCCAGTGCTAGAAGTGTGCCCCAGGATCCTCAGGTGGTTTTTGATACAAATTTCCTTAATGCCTGCAGAACTTGATGCCAAAGTGTGAAGAGTCAAGCTCTGAGGTCTGAGGCAGGATCAGGTCCTCGTGGTGGGCATTCTGTGACAGAAAGTTTGCTTTCCCTGGTACAGGGCGCTCGGTCTTCAGTAACAGTTAAAAATGTTAGATGGGGTTAAAAGGATGCCTCTTCCTGGCATGTGATAGCTTCGTCTGAAAATTCGGATAACATTAGAGATTGCTGAGCTGTGCTTATTATCATATATGCAATCTTATCATAGATTCACAGAATGCTTTGGGTTGGAAGGGACCTTTGGAGGTCATCTAGCCCAATCCCCCTGCAGTGAGCAGGGACATCTTCAACCAGACCAGGTTCCTCAGAGCCCCGTCCAACCTGGCCTGGAATGTTTCCAGCAGTAGGACCTCCACTGCCTCTCTGGGAAACCTGTGCCAGTGTTTCACCACTCTCACTAAAAATTTATTCCTTCTGTCTAGTCTAAATCTGCCCTCCCTTAGTTTAAAACCATTACTCCTTCTCCTGTCACAACAGGCCTTGCTGAAAAGCCTGTCCCCATTTTTCCTGTAGGCCCCCTTTAAGTGCTGAAAGGCTGCAGTAAGATCCTTGTGGAGCCTTCTCTTCTCCAGGCTGACCAGCCCCAACTCTCTCAGCCTCACCTCAGGAGAGGTGCTCCAGCCCCCCAGTCAGTTTTGTGGCCTCCTCCGGACCCTCTCCAACAGGTCCATGTCTCTCCTGTGCTGGGGACTCCAGAGCTGGACGCAGTACTCCAGAGCGGAGCAGAGGGGCAGAATCCCCTCCCTTGACCTGCTGCACACTGCTGGGTCATGTCCAGCTTTTCATCCACCAGTACCCCCAAGTCCTTCTCTTATCTTGTCTGATAATTTCCACCAAAAAAATCTAAAGGTCTCTGTGTTAATAAAGAATACTTCTTAATGTTGAGCCAGCCAAGTCCATAATACAGGGAGACAACGTGAGTTATGAAGGACAGCATGTTCCATGCATTACAAAGAAGCAACTGAACAGTGATTGTATATTTACGAAAAGTAGCTGAAAAGCTTCTTCAAACATTAGTGTTCTTTGATGCTTACATGTGTAGAAAGTCAGATTTTTTAAAGTTCTGTACAGAGGTTTAAAGAAAAGTCCAACATTTTTAAAAAGAGTCTGTAAGTAACCCGTTTTTGTTTTGTAGGGTTTTTTAACACATTTTTAGAACTTGTACCCCAAACAAAATAGTATTTCTGGATACAGAACAAGGAGTTACTCAGTAGGCTGCACTAAGACAGGAGCCAGAAGGTTGTTTACCTGTGCCATAGCTTTCCTTTAGACCCTGTTTTTTCCAGACACTGAGCGAGGTCTGTAGTTCTCTCACAGAGCGCCCTGAAATCAAGCTCTTGTTGGGCTTTGCTGTCAGCCGGTAAATTGTTGGTTGGTTGTATTCCAAGAGGCTTGGTCCATCAGCAGAGCTTGTCAGAGTCCGTGAAAATCCATCTTGAAGGTACCAGGGACAAGATGTGGAAAACAAGTGTCAGAGAGTTATTTTGGCTATAGAATTCTGTAAGGAAGAAAAAAGAATAAACTTTGGTTCAGTGGTTGTTGTCTGTGAGGGTTTCATGCCACTTGAAAAAGTCCCTACTTAGGAGCTGCGTGAATATTAGGATGCAAATCTGGTGAGGAGCAAAGGATTTTCTTTTAAAGCAAAGCAAAATGCCAACCAAAAAAAGCTGGAGGAACAGGAAAAAACTGGAAACAATTGCAGTCTCTCCCTGTCTTTATTCACCAGAGCCAGGAACAGAAACAAATTGAGGTAAGAAACAAAGTAATATTGAAGGACTGAAGTTTGAGAAATTCTGAAAAACCTGTTGGGTGGATTTTTTTTATGTGTATTTAAGGTAATGGCAAAATCGATTGAAAGAACCTTGAGTCATTTCATAAGCCTGGCATGGTTACTGGCATTTGATACATTTTTGGCAATTGTTACATTTTATTTCTTGTAAGACTTTAAAAAGAAAAATGTTTGGCTTCTGTGTTTGACAGTGACTTCATTGGAACTTGTGCTCTTTATGTCGACTTGGGGCCCAGTTACGTGCTTTTCTGCTGCTTTATATTCAGATGTGATTGAAATCACGGTAATTGGGCTGTGAGCTTGCACATACAGGATAAATATTTGAATACTGTTAAATAAAGAGCATGTGTTACAAGAACACCACTGTGGTTTTCGTATCGTAAAAGGACATCCTAGGTACACTTTTTACTGTTTAATGGCAGTACTTCAGGTGCTGAGTGTGTTAGAGGCAAACTGGTAAGGTAGTGGATGACTTTTGGGTTGCACAGAACGAATACTGAATGAGAGAAGGTTGTGAAGTTTATCTCTTGTTCAGCGTTTCTTCAAAGAAGGCACGGAAAAACGGGTGTTCCCTGACGTGCATAAGGCTGCTCAAATTTTTCTGCTACCTGGCTTGTTAAGAGTCTTAACTGGAGTAGTTGAGATGGATGTTACGTGTAATGCGGAGGAGAGAAAAACGCTGGATGAAAGGGAGGTTTGAAAGACTTCTGAAAAGTCGGCTGCGTGGTGTCTGCAGGTTGCATCTCCACTGATGTATGTTAATTGCTTTACTGACGAGAATACAGAAATCAGGTGGGAATCGTAAATGTAAACTTTGTTGTGTTTTGTTTAGGGCTTGTTGCTGTGGGAGAGAAGGCACAAAAGAGATCTGGACATTATGTTGTGATGAAGGATCTTTCAGGTGAGATTCTTGTCTTAAAAAAAAAACCATCTCATTTAAAATGATTGCTTTGATAGCAGCATTGAAATTTCATACACATTTTATCTTCAAGGTAAACATCCAGTTTCTGCGCTGATGGAGATCTGTAACAAAAGAAGATGGTCGGCACCTGAATTTGTGTTGGTGGATGATAGTGGGCCTGATCATCGCAAACATTTTATCTTTAAGGTATGTTTGAGTTCCCTTGTTTGCTGTTGGTTTCCCTATTAAAAAGGTGGTTTAAATTGATGTTTATATTTGTATGTTGCAGAGGTGGCTGAGGACTGCTAAGCAGTGTCTTGATGCTAAATTTTCAAAGTCCTGTTTCTGTAAAGGCCAAACTGGATCTCTCAAGCGCATTAATCTTGAAGTCTGTCAAGAAACACACTCTTCCACTTGTTACTGAAGTTATTAACCTGTGTGGTATCATATTCTTGCTGTTTAATTGCAGGTGTGGTGTTAAGCCTTACTGTTGTGAAGGTGGTGAGCAAGGTTTAGGTATTTTTCTCCTTCGGTTATCTTCCAATGCGGGCTTTCTTTTTCATGTAATGTCTTGTGTTAGCAGTTACCATGCGGAAAAGATAGTGCTTACAGAGCAGGCGCGGGTTTTGTCAACCCCTAAAGAGGAATTACATAGAGAATGCGCTTGAAGGAGCTGCGTAGCGCTGCCTCGAAACAGAAGTGAAAAGGAGTTTGCTAACACTTTCTTTTTCCTCCCCCTCTTTCACAAACAGGTGAGAGTCAATGGAAATGAGTATCGGCCTACTTTTGCCAGCCTTAATAAGAAGCATGCTAAAGCCACAGCAGCAACTGCGGCTCTCCAAGCGATGGGACTTGTACCAAAGGAAAGCATGGTCAATACCACCATGTTTAGGAGTGCCTCACACCGCTAGATATTGTTTTTTATATTGACATTATTTCAGATAATTTTACTCTGCACAAAAATGGTATTTGCCCTTTCATGTTGTAAATACATTGGCAATTCCCACATTGTAAAAACTGTACAGACACCTTCAGGTTTTTCTTTTGTACCATCAAAATGTATTTAAATCATACTTAGTTTTTGGTATGTTTATATTGTTTACATTAGTGATGTAATTATTTCTTAAATGACTAAATCAGATGACAGACTCTGGAGGCATCAATAATCGAGACCCTTGTTTTAAAAACTCATGCAATTTCTCTCCAATACGGAATGTTAACACTTTCATACTGTTTTGTACTATGCTGCAGTTTCCCCCGGTCTCGGTAAAGCTACGCGTGCGCTTTTGCCGACAGCTGGTGAAAGGGCGCGCGGCTGACCTTGGTGTGGCCGAGGCCGGCGTGTACTGCTGGACAGGTACTGGGCCAGTACCGACACCCCCGCGGGAGCCCGTGCCGTGGCAGCCCTGTTGCACGGTGCCAGAACTGCGGCTCCCCGTGGAGTTTTGTGGGGGGGGTTTAACTCAGCGGCGCGCTGCGACTGGCCATACAGCCCATGCGCTAGGACATAACGTGATTAGGCAGAAGGCTTGCTTTCGGAGGGGTGGCAGAAAGTCCAGCAACGGAACCCGTGAGGCTTGCAAAGCAAAGGTGACTCTCCCTGCATGTTCTGAGAAGGGAGATGATGGAGCTGTCTGTTCCAAACAAATTAACACACTGCCTGATGTTGATTGTATGAATTTGTGGTTAATGTGAATTTTAAACTCTAACAAATCTTCAACTGGATTTGGGGAGGGGAGGGAGGGGATAGAATGATGCTTAAATTGTTGTACCCAACTTGGTCAATAAAGCAGCACAAGTTCATAATCTTAATCACTGGTCAGTAAACAGTAATTAAAGTGTACGCCAAAACAACTTATTGAAGAAATGTACAGTAAAAAAAGTACGCTTTATGAAGATTATCAACAGCTGTTAGCGTTGCAGAATTGGTTCTAGCCATTTCTGCTTACTTTGGACTATTAGCAAATTAACTCCTTGGGCTTAAATTTTCTGTAATGGTACTCTGCCCTCAAGGAGGCAGCCTGATCCAGAGCTTTGGCAGTGTGACAAGGGAGAGGACATAGAAAACTTTTCCTTCTTTTTTTCTTCTTTTTCTGTTTTTTAATTTAAGAAAGTGTTAGTACTTTAGCTATGTGCACTTTGAATTGGAAAGGGCATTGTACACTTCTTGCCAGATTTGTCTGAGTTACGAGCAGATTGCCAGGATTTGCAGACTCTGGTAGTTCGGGTGCTTATTTTCAGAAAAGTCTTTTTGAGGTCTCTGTGTTGCACCTGCTGACCAGAGCTTCATTTCGGGCAGAAACAAAATACAGTTTGCACGCAGTGCGGCACTGCTCATGTCTGAAGTGAAAGACCTTTGCAATGTAGTAGGAACGTGGAGGTGAACAATTACAGTACCTCTTCTTCCACAAAGTAGGGTGACTCGTGTGTATTCTGTCAACTGTTGTGGAACAAGGTGTCTTTCTTTGGCTTAAAGGGACAAGGATCAATGTCTCGTGTTGTGTAAAGCAGAGAAATGCTATTTGGCTCGCCACCACACGCTTCTGAGAAATAAAGCCCCTTATTAGTCTGTCAAAGCGCTCTAGAAATGCCTAAATGAATCTCAGTTTTCATGGAAGTAGTTGTCTTTAATTAAACTTTTTTTCCCTTTGGCTTCTTGCCTTCAGTCTCTGACTAAATATGTGAAGATCTCCTTGCCTCATTTGCTGAACTAGTTGGAAGGTGTGTGTAAAAACCAAAAGTGAACGTGGTACAGCAATGGATAGATCTACTCTGGGAGAACTGGGTGTTGTATCTATCTTAGCTGAAGTCTGGCTTTTTGATGTACGACTTCAAGTAATTAACTGGGAATGTGGGAGCAGCTCCTGATCAGGCTTGTTTAAATGTCTGGTTTGATAGAGCTAAAACATGGGAGATGTTGATTGTTCTGTGAAGTCTGTGGTGTCCGTGTCCGCGCTGGTTTCACAGCTGTACAGTATCAAATCCGGGAACATACAGTCTCTTGTACTTGTTGATTTGTTCTTTTTTTTTGGTCTCTGTTCCCCGTGTATAATGTAAAGATAGATGTTACCTCGCAGCAGCAAGGAGCAGATGAATTCAGTCCCACTGAAGACTCCATTTAAAAAATAACTATTTAGGAAAGTTCTGGATTTCACGCCTTAAAGATGTGGTACTGTATGTGGATTTAACCTTGGATCTTAAGGAAGAGTTATGGAAAAAAAAAATAATTAAGGTCTGTAATGCCCTAATTATGACAGTTCTTGATTTTGAGGTTTCTGTTTTAGTTTCATTCCTTGTTGTTTAGAACGATACCTGAATCTAAAGCTAGTGCAGCGATGTGCTTCTGTTAAATTTGTAAATTTGAATTGGTTTGAGTGTCTTTTGCATGCAGGAATAGACAAGTAGTGATACATTAAAAAGAACAACTAGGAAACGCTCTCTTGGAACCTGGTTATTTATGCAGCCCTTTAGCTGTCTGCAAGGTGAATAGTCTGTGACTCCTGCTGGTGGACGACATGATCGGTTTGGCTGTTGGATTTCCCTTTGCTGCAGAATTACTCTCCCTAGGAAGCAACCTCGCAGAAAGCGCTTCTGCCTTCCCTGGGGCAGGGAGCGTTTCGAAACAGACGCCCAAGAACTCGTAGCCAGCTCCACCAGAATGATTCCTTGGCAGTCTTCTAACGCGTGGTGTTTAAATGGTTAGGACTGGAGGAGAGCAGGAAGGTGAAGCTTCTATGTCTTGGAAAATTCAAGATTGCCTCTTAAAGTGCAAAAACTGTCTTGAGGCTTAATCAAATGCTTGCAGTCAGTCGCTCCCCCAAACATACCATAGTTGCAATGAACCTTCAGCCACTTGGACAGGTTAAATGAATAAATCTCAGGGTTCTACGAGCATCTGGAATAATGGTAGTATTGACTGAGAAATCTCCTTCGGGTGGAAGAGCAGCAGACTGGGTAGTGTAAGGCTGTAGCTTTTATAGGGACCAGCCCTGAATCCCAGAGCTGGAAGCCACTGGAATGTGCTTCTGAAATCACAGGCAAAGCTGTGACTTAAACCCACAGGCGGTTTACAGTACAAGGAGGAGCTGCAGCTCGGGTAATGGTGCAAAGCATGTGATAAAGAATTCGGTGGTAGAGTTTTGAAGTTGCACAGTTCTAGACTACAAGAACATAATTGTAATTCAAATATTTTAAAATGATGACAAGCTATTAATTGGCATTGGTGTCTCTCCTTAACTCTGACAAGCTGGATGTGAAAATACAAACCAGAACTGAAATTACTACTAATGATTGCATTTCCTAGAAACAGACGAGTCCAGGTCCACGTACCAAAAGGGTTATTGGCTTGATCAAAACTGCTTCCCCACGGAGGGAGCTACAGCCTCGCTCGTTCCTGTGGCTCGCCGTAACCTGTTCCAGGCACGCAGGCTTTGGCGGCAGGCCCGCTCCTCAGGCGCGCGCCCGGGAGGTGCTGCCTGGTGCAGACCTGGGCCGCGAGCTCCGAGGCCACGAGCGGCTTTCGGGGGGGCTCGCCGGCTGTGACTCCTGTAAGAAGTGTGGTTAACACACCAGCCGCGCTAGAAACCCAGTCTTCTGGTATGCCCCGCGATGCCGTTAGCGCTGGATTTTCACTCTTGGTGTCTGATACTAAGTAAAGCGGAAAGTTCAGTGATTTGCTTCTCGGTTAGTTAGGGAGAAGTGTAGCGATGAATCAAAGTTGGATTCTACTACCCTAAACTCCACCAGAAACGGGAGTATTTGACATGATCAAAGTATTTAATATTCTAAGGTGCCTTTTTCCATCGTAAGAGAGGGACTTTCCCTTCTTCTGTTTTCTAGATGTTGTCCGGCATAGCGCTAGGCTGGCAGTGTCATGGTGGTTACTGTAAAGTAACAAATGTAAACATGAAGTATTCCTGTGTAGTCACACACGGGCTGTATTGGGGTAGGGTGCTTCAAGGGGTGGTGATACAAAGTGACTGGAGGGCAGAGAAAGCTGTCATCGTGCCTCCGTCTGCAGTAACTTCCTCACCTGCCTACATTTTAAAGTTTACAGGCAGGCTGCTGACATGAGACTTGGCTACAGTCTCCTGTTTCGGAACAGCGGCCTGAGTCGGAGGTGGAAAGCAGAACAGTGCTGTGGGAAGGGTGAGGGTGGCTCGGCACATGGCCTGAGCCCTGCTCTGTTTTCGGTGCAAAAAAACCCGGTTGAATTAGAAATCTCACTGGAGCGGACAAGCACGACGCTATTCTACGTACTGCTCTTCAGATCTGGTGTTCTCTGCTGCAGGAATCTGATCACCTAACGGCTGTGTGAAGTGACAGACATGCCTCCCAAGTAACAGCTCGGCGTGTCCCCCCCAAAGCGCAGCGGGCTGCGTCTCGCCTGTTCATAGACTGCGCTGTCGCTGCAGACGCAAAGTCAGATCAGTAGCCCCCCCGCTGCCTCTCATTTTCTCTGTCCTCGACCAGGTGGTGGAACCATTTCATCCCTCCAGCTGGGTCCGATTCAGGTCAGGGTTTGTACAAACGGCTTTTTAGAAGTTTGGAGCATTGTAATGTCAGTGTGGGTGGGGGGATGCGACACGAGACAGCTACGCCGAGCAGTGCTGAGGAATCTTAACCTGCTGATCTGATTCAGCTGCAGCCAGAACCCTGCGCTTGCATCCCTCTGACTTTCATCTATCTTTGTGGGGCTCTGAGCTGACTTAAGCCAGGAGGCGCAACACACCAAGGTGTGGCCCTTGAGCTTCTGGCAAGGTGCTGTAAGCAGTGTTGGAAGGGGGTCTGCCAAGAATTCCACCCATCCAAAATGCAGGTCACGAGTTACCGCACAGAGCAGTGGCAGACATTCTGTACTTCAGAACAGAATCTGCACGTGCATGAAGAATACAGACCTTCCACGTGCAATTCAGACCAATAAAACAGATAATCATGTTTTATCAAGTTTTATTTAAAAAAGGCTTTCTAAAATACAGAAGGAGATGTCCAAGGCCACCTCCTTCATTTCCTTTAAAAGTCCTTTGAAGTGTTTTATGATGAGTGATGTGCAGTAGTTGTTGTCTGTCACGTGCAACTGGACTGTATCCCTCCCAGTACGGCACAGGTGCTGCCTGTGTAGACCTGAACAAAGTACAGCACCTGCACCCAGAGAGCATTCTTCCCCATTAAATGGAAGTAGCATACCTATGGCTTCCAGGTATAAGCATAATCCCGCATTTCCAGGAATCGGATGGAAGATTTTCCCAATGTTGGACACTGACTCAGCTGATCCAGGGTCTTGGGATGCAGTCCACACGTAAGCAGATCTTTGTGTAGGGTTTCCTGCGGAAATTCACGGGAAGAAGAGAGACGTGGAATAGGTATTTCTCTTTGAAACACCTGTAGTTCTTAATGTTCACTTGTGTACCTCGGGGGAACTCCCGAAAAGCTCCTTTTCCCACTGTCCCGTTTCTGAGGGAATGACAAGCCACGCGGCCTGCCAGGTGGTAACCACAAGTAACTGGGTGCAAGCCCACGTGTTAAGGGAAAGCTTTGTGCTGCTTAGTGGCCGATGGTTTGTAACGAAAATACTATTCCTAAAAGGAAAGATTGTCTCTGCTACTTTCCTTACCTGGCTGAAGGCAGGGCTTGCTTGGTCAAGCTGAGCGTTAAACACAGCAGTGGGCTCATGTGTGTATAAGGCAGCAGAGAACGCTCCCCTCTGCGCGGCTTTGAGCAGCATAGTCAAGGAATGCAGGGAATGAGGCAGGACAGGGCCAACGATCTCCAGGCTGAATACGTCCTCATACGCCAAGTCAACCCTGGCTTTGGCATTTATACTTCGAGCCTGAAAGACAGGAGCACACTGGATTAGTTTTTGACACACCAAATCAAGTCCTCGCTTTCATTTTCACTTAATACCGCAGTGCCACAGTCCCGTTAGAAGGTCAAAATACTTTTCAGTATCATCAACTCACTGCTCAATACCCGAGTATTACAATGATTTTACTGTCTTTGTAACAACTCCTAAAGTGTGCCAGCTGTGACACACTGAAACATTAGAGAGTTAACTGCAGAAGAACCGTAGGAGCTAGTTTGGTGGCAGAGGGCTGCCCCACTTCTAGGCACAGCACGTCCTTTACTATCCACCACCTCCTTATAGTAACAGCTGGTGAGCCGTGCTTCAGGGGCTCCCTCTCTGCAAGCAGCTGGGATGGTCTGAGGCCCTGTAAGAGCTCGGGAGAATCTTTTAAGAACCATTTTAGTGTCTGAGGGGTCTGCTTAACCTCTTAGTTATCAGGATGTGAAGAATGGAGATACTGGGATTTGAGTTTAGCAGCACAGACCCAGGTGGACAGAGCTGGTCTAGGAGGCAGTCTCTTACTGCAGGCAAAATGCTAACTCAGGCTCCAGCAACGACGATTACTCTGCTGTACCCAAGGGAAACTACACAAAGGCTGTGTCTAATTTACTGGGTGAAGAAACAACTTTCCTTCATCAGAAAACAGAGACAGTTGTGTTTGTTACTTACTTTGAGTGTTTGCATTGTTCCACCTCGGAAAGCAACAGGAGACAACAAAGTTGGCGGAAGCCCTGCCTGCGGACCTGCAACAGCCACCAGGCTCTTGCAGTTTATCAAGAAGTTCAGCAAGGTGAACGCGTTTGTTCCTTTCACTAACGCGAGGGACTCGGGTCTGTGGTCCCTCTGCACCTCGTGCTTCTCCTTGCGACTGTATTGACTGGAGTCAAAGGAAGACCACGGGGAAGTGAGAAGCATCAGCGCACTGAAGGAGGAATCAGAGCAGTGCACCTCCAGAAGAAACCCCACCACCCGCCTGTGACCAATCAATTCATTGGAACAAAAGCAAAAAAAACCACCGTCAGATTTGTTCTTCAAATATTAAGCAGCATCTTAAACCTCCGATTTCATTATTGAAGTTGTGAGGTAAAAAGCATTTTCCAGGTCCAATGTCATGTTTACTGAACACCTACAAAGTCAGCAACTCCTCGTTTTACTGTGAGTTTTGCATAAAACCGTAAGCATTCAGAGTTCAGATCAGGAGGCTGCTTTTGAAGCGTGTCCCCGCATCCCCAGTTACGGGGCAGTGCTGCGGGGCAGTCTCAGGGAGCTGCACCGAGCTTCCTCAGGGGTGGCAGCCAGCAGCAGCTGCTTTGGGCAGTGCCCCTCACTGCTCCCAGGGCAATAGGACCAGGGGAAGACCGAGTTGATCGGTCCCTCTCAAACACGTACAGGTTCTCAGCAACAGCTGTTCTCATCTACAGCTGTGTCCCTACTATGCCACACTACTTCCAAGTGTAAACCTAGCCTACATGAACCCTTTTCTTTAAAAAAAAATGAAAAAATCTACCAAGTCTTTCCAGTGAACCTATATGTGAGGTGACACTATCAGTTTGTGACCTAACAGATGGATTGCACAAAGTTACATTAACAATTCACAATGGCTTTTCCTTCAAGAAGAGGAGCATCTAGAAATACCTGTCATAAAGAAACTCAAACAGACATGCAGAGTCTCTTAATATGCAGTAATGTGATGAATAATATCTGGAAGGAAGTTCTCAAAAGCTTTTATAAAACTTCAATCCGTACCACTGAACGCTAACATCTGCAGGGCTTTCCAGCGTCATGATGTGCAAGGAAAGGATACAGCTTAATAGAAATAGCATCTGGTTTCTTAACCTTATCTTGGACTCCCATCTCCTCAAGCCAAGAAAAGCTGTCGTCGTCATCATCCTCATCGCTTGGAGCTGGTTCCCTAGGAAACACAGAAGCAGTGTTAGGAGGGCAATACTTCCTACAAAGGTTTTCCAAACGGAATGTGTGCGAGTCTGTAGATGCCCTTGAATTCTAGCGTGGTAGAAGGCTTATTACATACTCTCCTTCTTCCATGCTGTTGCCCACTTCGAGGCTGTTAGCGACTTCCATTTCCAAATTCACTTCAGAGTTTTTCTGTTTCCTGGTTCTACTGTCTTCTACCAAAGGTAAAGAAAACTCTATCCCTTGAACACAGGACGAAAAAAAGCAGTGAATGGTTTTGTAACACAGCTGATGCACTTTACCCATTATTCGAATTCTAGCTGGACTGGTTTTGCCTTACCTTCATTTCTCATGGCTTCCCTTAAACCTCTCGTCGTGGGGGAAATGACGGCTGTGATAACGTCACTTCCCGCAAGACCAGCTGCACGGAACAGGACAGTAAACTGGTAGGTACACACATAGAAGTAGGGACACAGTTTGGCTTTGAGCAGATTGTACAGAGAAGTAAAGCTGACAGCCCTGCAACATAGAATAAAACAATTCTGTCATTAACTGAAGTTAATTCTTTGCACTTGACGCATCCAGCCGCCTTTGGCTGGGTGGTGCTGACGTGTACTCTGCACAGGCTTGAGAGCATAGTGAACGATGAGTCAGATTTCCAGATGTGCTCAACATCTGGGAAGCTGCACTCCTCTGAAACGCAGCCTGCTGGCGAGCGCCC